CTTTCACACATAAGCTGTCGGGAAAAGGGGCGGTGAGGTAGCCTTGACCAGGTACAATGTGTGAAGCCCATTCCTGGTGTCCCCGACCTGTAAAGGCGGCGTAAAACTAAACTCACTTTCTCACTCACTGCAGGTAAAAACAAACTATAAAACATGTTGAATGGTGGATAAATATGTAAATTTATGTTTTTATGTGGTGAAGATTACCCTTAAGGATGACACACTGAGAAAAATCATCGCCAAACAATGCATGTTCAGATTTGATTGGAGGTAATGAAATATTTCTCAGCGCTGCGTTCAATTGCACTTTTTTTCATTTCGTCCAATCTTACCGATCATGAAAACAGACTACCCTATCTGTCAGTATCACATAAAAGGATAACACAGAAATCTAAAAACACATTTCTTATTTAACAAAAAAATGGCTCACCTTTTCAAGCACTACTGGTGACGAGACGCAGCATGTTCAGTTCTCATATTGACAATATCAACAACTTTGCCTGAGACAAGTGACTTTAATGATATATACAACCAGGCCTGAGGCACGTGACTTTAATGATATCAACAACCAGGCCTGTGACATGTGAAAGTCGTGCCGACTTTGATGACATCAACAACTTGATCTGTGACATAGAGCACGTGAAATTCGGGCCGACTTTGATGACATCAACAACTTTGTCTGTGACATACAGCACGTGAAAATCGTGCCGTTTTTGATGACATCAACAACGTGGCTTGTGACAGAGCGTGTGAAAATCGTGCAGACATTGATCATATTAACACATTGGCCTGTGATATCAAGCACGTGAAAATCGTGCCGACTTTAATGACATCGACAACGCGATCTGTGACATAGAGCACGTGAAAATCGTGCAGACATCGATGACATCAACACCTTTGCCTGTAATATAAAGCACGTGAAAATCGTGCCGACTATGACGTCAACAACTTGGCCTGTGGCACAGAGCACGTGCTGACTTTGATGATACCAACATCCTGGCGCCTAAGTACATGCTTGTTGGTACGGAGGGCGCAAGTAGACCTCGTATTTCGACTGAAGTATTGTTGGTCTTCCTGATCCAAAAGGGGTGAGCGAGAGAGTTATGGAACCAATCTCGATTGGGTCTCGACCCCGTTCCCAGACAAAGGCCTATCATAGGTCGGATGATGATTTGTAAACGTCAGTTAATTGAAAGTCCCTTATGGTAGACATGTTGAGGACATTTCGAAATTTGATACATCAGTGACAAAAATGATGTCCGATACAATTCCCTATTTCCCGAATTATTTCATCTGAACAACTTCCAAAACTTTGCATATGCTTATGACGGGTGCCAAATGAGGGGCAGGATACGCTCACCTTTTCTGGAACACCTGGTGTCATCACTATTTGATAGTGATTCATAAACATGTGCTCTGTCATCGTATCACATGGTGACAATCACTGGATTGTCTGGTCCAGACTCGATTTGTTTACAAACAACATTGTACAGCTGTAATACTGCTGAATCAAATATGTACTCATGATATATTCACAGTTGTACATTTGACTCTGCATTTAGTAGATATTTCTTAAGGATGTGGGATGGGCTTTGTCGGTTTTACTCATATTTTTAAATCTATTTATATAGGCTACCCGTCCGGGTTAGAACTGTCTTCAGCAACCCATGCTTTTCGAAAGAGTACTAGTAGGATCGATTGGTCAGGCTTGCTGACTTGGTTGACACATGTCATCGTATCCGAGTTGCGTAGATTGTTGCTGATACAGTTGATCACTGGATTGTCTGGCCCAGACTTGATTACTTAAAGACCGCCGCCATATTGTTTTGATTTTACCGAGTGCGACGTTAAACATCAAACAAACCCAAAATGATGCATAAGCGTTTGAGGGGAGCTGTAGCAGTTTATGTCGGCGGTGATTTTTTACGAATGGGCTTTCGCTGTGAGGATCGTACACGAAACTTGTTCACAATAATTATGTTTATATGTTTCTCAGAACCATATGCGCTTCCATTTCGAAGTGCAACACAAAAATTAATCAATTCTAAAACTTTGAGTTACATATGCGATCTGCCGTAAAGGTCCACGTTTACATTGGTCTTCAGCGAAAGGCATGTTATCGTATCCCAATTGCGTAGATCGATGTTAATGGAGTCAATCACTGGATTGTCGGGTACATTAGACCGCCGCCATGTAACTGCAATAGTGCAGAGAGGGCCGTTAAACAACAAGCTAACAAATAAACGAAATGCAACAACCGGGATCGGGTGGTCAGACAACTCGATGACTTGGTTGATATGTATCTGATATCCTAATTGCATAGGTCGATGGTCATGACGTCATGCAATCACTGCATTGTCTGGTTCAAACCCATCGACGTCATATAACTTGGATACTGCTTCATTTGACATTAAAACCCAAGAAACGCACAACAAACAAACGACGGTAACAGTCAAGCTGTAACCTTCGTTTCTTGTATCAGTTTATTTGTTTTCATTATAGCTGGAATATTGCTGAGTGTAGCGTTAAACAACAATCAAGCAACAGTCAAACTGTAATCGTTGTTTGTTGTATCATTTTGTTTGTTTTCATTATAGCTGGAATATTGCTGAGTGTAGCGTTAAACTTAAACAAGTAATAGTCAAGCTGTAACCTTCGTTTGTTGTATCAGTTTGTTTGTTTTCATTATAGCTGGAATATTGCTGAGTGCAGCGTTAAACAACAAACAAGTAATAGTCAAGCTGTAACCTTCGTTTGTTGTATCAGATTGTTTGTTTTCATTATAGCTGGAATATTGCTGAGTGCAGCGTTAAACAACAAACAAGTAATAGTCAAGCTGTAACCTTAGTTTGTTGTATCAGTTTGTTTGTTTTCATTATAGCTGGAATATTGCTGAGTGCAGCGTTAAACAACAAACAAGTAATAGTCAAGCTGTAATCGTCGTTTGTTGTATCAGTTTGTTTGTTTTCATTATAGCTGGAATATTGCTGAGTGTAGCGTTAAACAACAAACAAGCAAGAGTCAGCTGTAATCGTCGTTTGTTGTATCAGTTTGTTTGTTTTCATTATAGCTGGAATATTGCTGAGTGTAGCGTTAAACAACAAACAAGTAATAGTCAAGCTGTAATCGTCGTTTGTTGTATCAGTTTGTTTGTTTTCATTATAGCTGGAATATTGCTGAGTGTAGCGTTAAACAACAAACAAGTAATAGTCAAGCTGTAACCGTCGTTTGTTGTATCAGTTTGTTTGTTTTCATTATAGCTGGAATATTGCTGAGTGCAGCGTTAAACAACAAACAAGTAATAGTCAAGCTGTAATCGTCGTTTGTTGTATCATTTTGTTTTCATTATAGCTGGAATATTGCTGAGTGCAGCGTTAAACAACAAACAAGTAATAGTCAAGCTGTAACCTTCGTTTGTTGTATCAGTTTGTTTGTTTTCATTATAGCTGGAATATTGCTGAGTGTAGCGTTAAACAACAAACAAGTAATAGTCAAGCTGTAATCGTCGTTTGTTGTATCAGTTTGTTTGTTTTCATTATAGCTGGAATATTGCTGAGTGTAGCGTTAAACAACAAACAAGTAATAGTCAAGCTGTAATCGTCGTTTGTTGTATCAGTTTGTTTGTTTTCATTATAGCTGGAATATTGCTGAGTGTAGCGTTAAACAACAAACAAGTAATAGTCAAGCTGTAATCGTCGTTTGTTGTATCAATTTGTTTGTTTTCATTATAGCTGGAATATTGCGCATGCGCGCTGTTTCGGAGTGTAGCTAGTGAGTGAATGAGGAATACAATTGTTCTACCTCGGCTTTAGCAATATTCCAATAATTCAAAACGACGGACACGAGAAATAATTATACTCATTTGGAAAATAGAACCGGACCTTCGGCGTAACGAGCGAAGGATTTAACCACGGGACTACCCATCCGTCCTGTTTTGTGTATAAACTAGTGTTGGGAATTGGATAAAATCTCATAATTGATGATTGGTTCATTACAACCGATCAATCATCGAAAATAATTGGTCAGCGTCATTTATCAAATTTTTCTGGTTATGTTTGTTACTGCACAAAAACAAGGAAAAAACATGTAGTTCTTATGAGTCTTTTTACAAATTCCATAAAATGCATGTGCAAATTCATCTTTAAAGGATGACTAGTATGTTAGGAACATATATTCCTGGAGTCTTTAAGATAAATTCAATCCTGACTTGGAACGAGCTTGTAATGTTTATGAAATGTAACAGACAAAACCAACCTTGTGAAAAATATTGTTAATGCAAACAAGTGTTCCAGAATTGTTTGTGTTCGATTATGAGAAAACATGATCGATTGCTTGGTCGTTTAGTCATTGCGACCAATCTTCGATTATTTAAATTAATCGGACCGCCACTAGTATAAACAGACGAGGTTATAAGCTCGTTACACGCCATTACGATGATATGTGGTAAAGTCACCGAGCCTATCGAATCCTATCTGAAGACGAGCATTGGTCACCGGGGAAAATGAGTGAGTGAGTGAGTATGGTTTTACGCCGATTTTAGCAATATTACAGCAATATCACGGCGGGGGACACCAGAAATGGGCTTCACACATTGTACCATTGTGGGGAATCGAACCGGGTCTTCGGCGTGACGAGCGAACGCTTTAACCACTAGGCTACCCCACCGCCCCCGGGGAAAATGATCACCCGGACCCACCCGGACCCACCGGGGAAACGCATGCTTCTCTGTTTGTTGTTTAAGGCTGCCTTCAGCCACATTCTAGCTATATGGCGGCGGTCAATAAATAATCGAGTGTTCAGACAACCCAGTGATCAACAGCATGAGCATCGATCTACACAAATGGGATACGATGACATGTGTCAACCAAGTCAGTGAACCTGACCACCGATCCCGTTAGTCAATCATGGGTTCCTGAAGACCAATTCTAACCCGGATCTATCTTATTTCAGCCTCGCTGGACAATGGCGACGCCTATTCAAAACAAAATTTTAAATAAAGCTTATCTAATTTTTTTTTTATTCAGGAATTATATACAGCATTTTAACGAAAAGACATAAAAAAGACAATGGGACGATTAATATAAAGAACCTGAACAGTGGTTAGGGTTGACAATATCGATCACTCTATTTCACGGAGGCTAATTTTTCTATTCCTTAATATCACACCATGTAATGTTTACACACTTAATTGGCTATATGTTTCCTGGACACGATCTATGGCAAAATTGTAAAATATCACTAAGTTATACACTATGTACAAAGAACAACAGAAAAACGGCTACAAAGCACTTAATCGTGAGTATTGAAATGGTGATGAGCAGCTTTTGTTCGTGATTTGTTAAATATGTCCAGCATTTTTGTACGGCGTGTGGCAAGGGAAATAACGAATGCATTTTGAAAGGCTCTTCAGACGAAGTCCAGCAGATCGACGAGTCGCCCCTTTGGATGACAGTTGTAGAGAGAGACCTGTAATGGTGGGGATGTTATGATTAGAGGCATGCGTCAAGTTATACAACTATGCCACAGCAAGACTAACGCGTAGACTCTGAAAACATATAATTCTGATAGCAACACTCAACTACATTTGAGAGCCGCCATATCGCTTGAATACTGCTGAGTGCGGTGTAAAACTAAACTTACTCACTCAACTACATTTCAGTTGAAACGCAGTCCCTGTAAAATGTGAAATGCTGACTTAACCTGTCGAAAAGCCTAGACTTATATTACAAAAAAAGAAAAACAACTTTTACAAAGTGATCACAAGTAAACAAATATATTTTGGATTGCTCATTTTTATAGTGAAGTACAAATTATTCCATTTTTTTCAAAACTGAAATCAGTCTACACTTGGCTCATTTTTACATGAGATATGTTTACAAATAAAAGGTATAAAAGAGGGCCAGATTGTTTACTTACATCGTCAAAGAATCCGGAGAATGGATAAACAGAGCTGGATGCCACCCTAAGGCTATTCATCACCCGGTATGCTGGAGCTGTGGAACAACGTTAGAGTGAGTGAGTGAGTGGGGTTACTATGCATGCATTAACGTCTTGTACTTATATAACCTCACAAAAGTTCCCATATATCTGCCACGCCACGGGTGTATTGCATTTAAGATGTGCTGACGTGTTTCAGTACACGGCTTAAGCTTAAACTGGTACTGATCCCAATACTATGCTTAAACGTGATATACCCGTGTAGATCTGGGTTAGAATTGGTCTTCAGTAACCCATGCTGGTCGTAAGAGGCGACTAACGGGAGCGGGTGGTCAGGCTCGCTGACTGGGTTGACACATGTCATCGTATCTCTTTGCGTAGATCGATGTTCATGTTGTTGAGCCCTGGATTGTCTGGTCCAGACTCGATTATTTACAGACCGCAGCCATATAGCTGGAATATTGCTGAGTGCGGTGTAAAACTAAACACTCACTCACTTAAACGTGATACTGAATAAGTGTGTAGTTTAACGCTGCTGTTAGAAATATCCCAGCAATAACAAATAAAACCCTTGACACCACATGGTATCATGGTACCCATGTGGCCAGCGAACCCACACATTTTGCGTGACGTGCGAACGCTTTTACAACAAAGCTACCCAATTGTGAAACCATTTTCATACACCCCCCCCCCCCCCAAAAAAAAAAAAAGAAGAAGATGTGGCTCATGATCAATCTGAGTTACAACAAGTGAGAGAGAAACTTAGAAACAAGATGTTAGTTCCATATGCAATTTGGTTAAAAAATGTTCTGATACGTACCTTGCTGAATGTTTACAAATCAACTAATACGCCAGTACGTCAGAAATGTACTATCCTATTTGTAAAGGTATTCGGTTAGAGCTTTTCTGACATTCTTAATGTCAATTGATTTGGACACATTTAAGAAACGACACAGGGACCTGCGGTGGAACGCCGCGCTCGGGTTTAGACGTAATATTGTCAAAATGTCTTACCGCTGACTCGGTTCAAGTGCATGTTGTTTCCAGCTCGGGCGACAGCGGAGATCTCCCGGCCTGTGTACATCACAACCACGTCAATGAATCCAGTGAAACGCTGGAAAATCACAATAACAATAGCAATAAAGAAACAGCCATGATCATATAGTCCTTAAACTGACACGCCGTAACTTTTATTCACTAAAGCAGAAGAAGAAGAAGAAGAAGAGAAGAAGGAGAAGGAGAAGAAGAAGAATGAGGAGAAGGAGAAGGAGAAGGAGGAGAAGAATGAAGAAGAAGAAGAAGGAGAAGGAGAAGAAGGAGAAGAAGAAGAAGGAGGAGAAGGAGAAGAATGAGGAGAAGGAGGAGAAGAAGGAGAAGGAGAAGAAGAAGAAGAAGAAGAATGAGGAGAAGAAGAAGAATATGACAGAAGCTAATTCACTTCGATCTTTTCCCCAACGATAAGCTGGCACGCTGTCACTTTTATTCAATAAATAGGACAGAAAATCTTAACCAATGGAACGGGTATGGGATTTTACGAACGCTTCAAAACGTAACACATTTTGTACATTTGTATGTTCTTTCCTCTTCAAGCATATACTGAAGCAGTAAGTCATAACTACCTGACATAACACAACGATTTTATAGCAGTGTCATGAGTTTCCACATACAACAACCTATAGGAGGATTCTGAACAAACTGTAATGTTATTAGTGGAAGAATAACACTACACGGTTGAACTAATATTTATTACAGTTGTGCAGTCATATATTGTCAACCTTCCGCACTGCTTCAACTTTAAATGCCTCCCAAAGAAACTGCAATCATGCCATTTAACAACGATTTAAAAAGATCAAAAGGAAAACGCTTTGGAAATGTGGTTAAATTTAGATAAAAGCTCTCAACATGTAAGTTGTTTATTGGCTACGGAAGGAGGGATATTGAAAGGAAGCTACTCGTGTGTTATGCACCTAGGCAGGTCGAATTCAGGTGGTCACGAGAGTGCTCAGTGGTAGACCAAGTTTGGTCAGAGTAACCTGTTTGAATGGAGATAACCTCCAGAAAACATCTGTACCGTCAATATTCAGAATTATGTAACGAGGTGGATCTTAGCACTGATGTTTTCAAACATGACGCACTGTTCTGCCTATCGTTAGCAAAGCATATTTTGATGCAGCTTTTATCATTGTGTTTGTAACAGGAAACTGTTTCTGACAATGTAAAAACCTGAAAGCTTGTGCCTATGATTTACAAAATATTCCCAATCTCCACAGGCGCCAATACGTGACTCCACCATCAAAACACCTCACATCTAACAGTTAGTACTTAGGTAGAACAGTCCAGTGGACCGCTCCAACAACAAACTGTCTCTCATCGAACAACTCAATACTCATCCCCATCGGGTCACGATCAGTACAACAAAACACCTCACAGTGGAAACTCAGTACAGTCCGGAACATCTCAGTGAGTGAGTGAGTATGGTTTAACGCCGCTTTTAGCAATATTCCAGCAATATCACGGCGGGGACACCAGAAATGGGCTTCACACATTGTACCCATGTGGGGAATCGAACCCGGGTCTTCGGCGTGACGAGCCAACGCTTTAACCACTAGGCTACCCCACCGCCCCGGAACATCTCAATGACAATCCCCATCAACTCTACACGTCGCTAAAGCAACAAAACATCTCACATGCAACAATTCATTAGGTCACTCTAACAACAAAAAACCCTCCACTCAATACTCATCCCTATCAAGTCAACAGGGGACTCAAACAGCAAACTACACCATACTCAATAACTATATACGCCTCTGTAACAACAAAACATCTCATCTTAAACAATTCAATACGTTACTTTAACAACAAAACATCTCATGCCCAACAATCCAATACGTCACTGTTACAACAAAACATCTCATGCCCAACAATCTAATACGTCACTGTTACAACAAAACATCTCATGCCCAACAATCCAATATGCCTCTGTAACAACAAAACATCTCATCCTAAACAATTCAATACGTTACTTTAACAACAAAACATCTCATGCCCAACAATCCAATACGTCACTGTTACAACAAAACATCTCATGCCCAACAATCTAATAAGTCACTGTTACAACAAAACACCCCATTACCAATAATTCCATACGTGACTTGAAAAACAAAACATCTCATCCTAAACAATCCAATACGTCATTGTTACAACAAAACACCCCATTACCAACAATTCCATACGTGACTTGAAAAACAAAACATCTCATCCCCAACAATCCAATACGTCACTGTTACAACAAAACACCCCATTACCAACAATTCCATACGTGACTTGAAAAACAAAACATCTCATCCCCAACAATCCAATACGTCACTGTTACAACAAAACATCTAATCCCAACGTCACACAATGCGGTGTTCATACATTCCAGTCACTGGATTGTTAGCAGAGACTTGGGGATTTACTGCCTTGGCGACCAGGACCCTTATTCTCGAAATGTTCGTAGCCCTAAGAATTCTTAACTTGGATCGTAGCCAATGAGTTAAGAATGGGCTTAAGAAGTTCGTAGGGCTACGAACGTTTCGAGAATAGCTCGCCAGGACTGTAATTGATATTCAACAGTCCATGCTTGTCATAAGTTGAGACGGCGATGGGGTAGCCTAGTGGTTAAAGCGTTCGCTCGTCGCACCGAAGACCTGGGTTCGATTCCGCACATGGGCACAATGTGTGAAGCCCATTTCTGGTGTCCTCCGCCGTGATATTGCTGGAATATTTCTAAAAACGGCGTAAAACCATACTCACTCACTCATAAGATGCGACTAACGGTATCGCACTCGCTGGTTTGATGCACGCCATTGCATCCCATTTGCGTAGATCGGTGTCCATGATGTCAATCACTGGATTGTCTGCTTTGGATTCTAGTATTTACAGTCTGTAGTCTGCTAGCTGGAATATTGCTGAGAACAGCGTAAAAGAAACAAGAAATAAAAGAAGAAAGAGGGAGTAAGATAACAAAGCAGTCAATAATGATTAGCCCATTAGCTGACTTACCCTAGTTGAAAGAATTAGATTGGCTTCTGTTTTGTCCATATGGGTGAGAGAAATTTCAATGGCTTCTTGGTTGAGGTCTACTGTGAGAGCGTTGCACTGGATGTTGTCCTGGATTTGGATGAGGTTTCGTCGCCCAGTCCTCCCGACCGTCTCATTGAAGCGGAATTTAAGGAGAAGAGGACGGTCAAATGTTGGCGTCGGCAAGGCGCTGTTGATGAGGAGGGTGCTACCGTCACTGAATTGTCCAAGGCCTTGGTTGACCGTAACTCCTGAGGTAACCGACCTCGAAATGTCGTCAGTAGAATTAAACGAAAAATTTATCGAGAACACAGAAGTGCAACCTGTAACGGGAGAGATAATATTATATAAAAATACACCAGTTTGGCATAATAATCTTGTATATGATGACTTCTTTCCAAATATATTTTCTTTAGAAGGAAACAAATGTGACAATAATGAGCTTTAGTTGTCTCTTTATTCCACGCCCCAAGTCACTGGATAAAAGACAGGGGTTACAAAATATAATAATTACACCTGGGATCCGACAAGGCGTTCCTACTGACTGAGTTTGGTTTTACGCCGCTTTTAGCAATATTCTAGCAACATCACGGCGGGGGAGACCAGAAATGGGCTTCACACATTGTACCCATGTGGGGATTCGAACCCGGGTCTTCGGCGTGACGAGCGAACGCTTTAACCACTAGGCTACCCCACCGCCCCCAAGGCGTTCGTAGCGCTGCGACATTCGTTAGCCTATGATAAACTATAGAGTTACGACAGGTCGTAACGTTACGAACGCTTTGTGGATGGGACCCTGAATTATTCAATATTAATCACACTTGCCTGCGCGCACTGGAGCAATGCAACCACACTCAATAACATCGAAAACCTCCAGCGATGGGCATTTGCGTTCGTATCTGTTCCAGGTGCCCCTTTCTAGCTCGTAGTGGAAGTAGTAGTCGGGTCTGTTCCAGTCGGGTGTGGAGCGGCATATGTCTGTACAATTTGGGGTACATTACAATTACGCATTATCCTAATTCCAATTACACATACAATCACAGGAAATCGAATCCGATTTAGATCGGATTGAAATGTGGAATCCGTTTGGAAAACAGTATTTTGTCATGACAAAATTATTTAAATTACTTAATTTACTGCATTTTCAACATGAATACATTTAATATTCAAAATATTATGTCTGAAGGATGTTTTTTAAGAAACCTTCAACACACAGCAATTGTGCCGCATCACGATACATCCGAGGCTATGTATCCAAATGGGCATAACCATAAAAGATGGATTAATCATGGCAACTTAGTTAAAGTATTAGGGTCCTTGACCAACTGACCATTGCTTCCGCATGACCCTGGACATGGGTCCATGCATGACAGATCCCCAATACAGCCTTGCTCTGGGACATAACGAAATCCAGGATCACAGCATGCGGGGGTGCTACGGAACGAACTACACTGCCAGTAGGCACGACAGCTGCTTCCTTCCATCTTGAAGTGTCTGGCGTTGATGTTGTTACATTTCTCTGTAACAATACAATATACAAAACATTTACACGTGAGGGAGAGGGTGTTTTTGACATGAACAGCACTCCAGTAACAGTGTCAGCATGCAGAGCACGAAATGAAGCATTTTTTAAAGTTTACAAGAGTGTACAAGATGCTGAAGAGTCAAAGATGTAAATCAGGGCGCTTATTAGATTTGAACCAAAACTCATTACCGGACAATCAGAATCAGTGGGGACTGGTGTCTGAAATGAGTGGTCACTTAATGGTCAGTTAGCTGGTTGGTGCCAGCTGACGAATTCTTAACACAAGAGAGGAGAGGCGATCAGAGAATTGTGGTCAGTTCTTGATCAGTTAACCAGTTGTTGCCAATTCCATGAATGGCATACACGAGGAGTGCATACATTATGTTTTAAAATACCACCTTATGTAACCTATAAATTATACAAAATAACTAGCTCGGTTTCGTTAACAATATGTAAACAATGATTACTGTAGATATAAATTATATTCACACTGCGTTATGCAACAAAAGATATTTTGAGGATATTTTTTCAATAAAAGATTTCAAATAGTATCTTTGGTTTGATTATTATAACCTTACCGCTATACGTCTCAGCGATGTCAAGGGAGGTAACGCTTCAAAATTAATTGTAATATCTCCTGAAGTATCACAACACTGATCTAACAAACACGGGGAAAACATAGTATGTCTTTTTTCAATAACGGACCATTATCTCAGGAACAGACCACCATTTGTGGAACAGACCACCAACTGTACCTCTTCAGGGGACGTGATTTCCCAACATGGGGTAATGTACTCACGCTAAACACCATGGCATGACCTATGCTAAATGTTCCGACCACACCTCCGACATGACATGTCCTACACTCTCCTGTACCCATCCAGACGCCACCCACACCTCCCAGACGACATGTCCTACACTCTCCTGTACCTACACAGACCCCACCCGCACCTCCCAGACGACATGTCCTATACTCTCCTGTACCTACACAGACCCCACCCACACCTCCCAGATGACATGTCCTACACTCTCCTGTACCTACACAGACCCCACCCACACCTCCCAGACGACATGTCCTACGCTCTCCTGTACCTACACAGACCCCACCCGCACCTCGAAGACGACATATCCTATACTCTCCTGTACCTACACAGACCCCACCCACACCTCTCAGACGACATGTCATACACTCTCCAGTACCCACACAGACCCCACCCACACCTCCCAGATGACATGACCTACACTCTCCTGTACCTACACAGACCCCACCCGCACCTCCCAGATGGCATGTCCTACACTCTCCTGTACCTTCACAGACCCCACCCGCACCTCCCAGACAACATGTCCTACACTCTCCTGTACCTACACAGACCCCACCCACACCTCCCAGGCAACATGTCCTATACTCTCCTATACCCACCCTAACCCCACCCACACCTCCCAGACAACATGTCCTATACTCTCTTGTACCTACACAGACCCCACCCACACCTCCCTGACAACATGTCCTATACTATCCGGTACCTACACAGACCACACCCACACCTCCCAGACAACATGTCCTATACTCTCCTGAACCTACACAGACCCCACCCACACCTCCCAGACGACATGTCCTACACTCTCCTGTACCTACACAGACCCCACCCGCACCTCCCAGATGGCATGTCCTACACTCTCCTGTACCTACACAGACCCCACTCACACCTCCCAGACGACATGTCCTACACTCTCCTGTACCTACACAGACCCGACCCACACCTCCCAGATGACATGACCTACACTCTCCTGTACCTACACAGACCCCAACAACACCTCCCAGATGACATGACCTACACTCTCCTGTACCTACACAGACCCCACCCACACCTCCTAGACAACATGTCCTATACTCTCCTGTACCCACCCAGACCCCACCCACACCTCCAAGACAACATGTCCTATACACTCCTGTACCTACACAGACCCCACCCACACCTCCCAGACAACATGTCCTATACTCTCCTGTACCCACACAGACCCACCCACACCTCCCAGACGACATGTCCTACACTATCCTGTACCTACACAGACCCCACCCGCACCTCCCAGATGACATGACCTACACTATCCTGTACCTACACAGACCCCACCCACCTTCCAGATGACATGACCCTACACTCTCCTGTACCCACACAGACCCCACCCACACCTCTCTCCTGTCCTACACTCACCCACAGACCCCACCCACACCTCCCAGATGACATGTCCTACACTCTCCTGTACCCACACAGACCCCACCCACACCTCCCAGATGACATGTCCTATACTCTCCTGTACCTACACAGACCCCACCCGCACCTCCCAGATGGCATGTCCTACACTCTCCTGTACCTACACAGACCCCACCCACACCTCCCAGACGACATGTCCTACACTCTCCTGTACCTACACAGACCCCACTCACACCTCCCAGACGACATGTCCTACACTCTCCTGTACCTACACACAGACCCCACCCACACCTCCCAGATGACATGACCTACACTCTCCTGTACCCACACACAGACCCCAGATGACACACCTCCCAGATGACATGACCTACACTCTCTCCTGTACCCACACAGACCCCACCCACACCTCCCAGATGACATGACCTACACTCTCCTGTACCCACACAGACCCCACCCACACCTCCCAGATGACATGACCTACACTCTCCTGTACCCACACAGACCCCACCCACACCTCCCAGATGACATGTCCTACACTCTCCTGTACCCACACAGACCCCACCCACACCCCCAGATGACATGACCTACACTCTCCTGTACCCACACAGACCCCACCCACACCTCCCAGATGACATGTCATGTCCTACACTCTCCTGTACCTACACAGTCCCCACCCACACCTACCAAATGACATGTCCTACACTCTCCTGTACCCACACAGACCCCACCCACACCTCCCAGATGACATGTCCCACACTCTCCTGTACCCACACAGACCCCACCCACACCTCCCAGACGACATGTCCTACGCTCTCCAGTACCTACACAGACCCTACCCACACCTCCCAGACAACATGTCCTACGCTCTCCAGTACCTACACAGTCCCCACCCACACCTACCAAATGACATGTCCTATACTCTCCTGTACCCACACAGACCCCTCTAGACTAACAGCTGGTGTCTAAAATGAACATATTTCACAGAAAAGACACTTCCTTAATTATAATAAGGACAAAGGTGCCCAGAGAAATGAGTTTTTTAAGAAATGAAATTGTGATAATCTAGACTTGCCACATATCCTAGACTACATGAGTTTTCTTGATGTAATTGTTTCAGGGCCTGTATGACAGACCAAGACCCCAGCTACACTTACCAAGAGGACAAGTGACCTGTGAGCTCTGTCTGCACCCTACGAGGTCCTGGTTCCAGTAATAGCCATGTGGACACATCCTGGACACCACGATGGTGCCAGTCCCCTGAGAAGATGGCTGCTTGTGACACTGCAGGTAGTGTCCACATTCCCTGGTGCTGTATCTGTATCCGATGTTCGCCACTAAGGGGGCCTCATCACAAAGCGGTAACTGACCTGTCAACACAACAAAGTATGTTTTTGATTGATCTATTGATTGTTGTTTTACGCCGCACTCAGCAATATTCCAGCTATATGGCGGCGGTCTGTAAATAATCAAGTCTGGACCAGACAATCCAGTGATCAACAACATGAGCATCGTTCTACACAGATACGATGACATGTGTCAACCACGTCAGCGAGCCTGACCACCCGATCGCGTTAGTCGCCTCTTACGGCAAGCAGGGGTTACTGATTCTAAAACCAGGAACTTCACGGGTAAGTTCAATATGTACGGCTAATATAGTCGTATGAATTAAAAGTGTGATACTTCATTCCATGTTTACTGATCTGTCGACCTTGTATTGTACACTTGTGGAATGAACATAATTTCTTTTTTGTTCATTTCAAGTACGTCGTCAATATTATCAAGTACTGAAAAAATATCACCCAAGGAGCATTGTAACAAGGGAAGTAACTCTTTGATCTGTCGTTACACATCGAGGTCTTGTCTTTCATTGTTTATATTTATTGCTATTATTTCATCTTACCGACAACGATTAAGGCAGAACCTGAATAATTAAGGATATTTTATTTTTTCGTTGGGAATGCTATTGGCTAATATTTGTCGTGTACAAAAACGTTCAGATATGACGTTTAAAGAGGCGGAAGGGAAAATCAAGAATGGCATCATATCTTACCATGAACACCGCCAAGGCCAACTGCTAGACATAGCACTGGTATTATCGACCACATCGTCACTGAAAATATGAATATTATTGTTACATGTTTAAAAGTTCATTGTTTATATATATATTGTTCATTGTATATATTCAATGTTTCATTTTAAAGTGATATATCATATACAGTAATATATAAAAATTGGGTATTTCTTAACATCTTTTGGGTAGAATGAAACCTCTATTCTTCATTCAGTACATATACGTTAAACCACAGCTCGTTCGACTCTCTGTGTCGAGATTTTATATTCAGGACACTGGTTTACCGGACAGCGTAACGTTTCATGTTTTTCATGTAGCTTCTTGTAAAGCCACGGTGTTTTGTGGATCTTCTTGCAACAGTTTTAATATTATTGCAGATGGTGTAACATTGTAATCAAAATAACACATAAGTATTTCCAATAATCAATATTTCTTGTCAAACATAGTCTACAGGTATACACAGTAAATTTTAGAAAAATAAAATAAAGAGAATACTAATGTTTTGACTGGGAGTAACATCAGCTTGATAAAGGGAGCTCTAACGCTCGTAACTGTAACAAAAGGTCAACACATTACCCACATCACTGATAACATATCATTACAGTCACCAGAACGTATAATCTGCGGTGTCAGTAAAGCTGTGATTATCTCTGATGCATTCTGTGTGAATACAATACTGAACAGTATGTCCCCAGCTGGGGCTATGTGTATTAGCAGTCAGCTGGTAGACGCACACAGTGGAACCATGTCAAATACTAACGAAGCCTTTTGGGACAACAATAATAATGATAATAACAATTATGATGATGATGATGATGATGATGATGATGATGATGATGATGATGATGATGATGCACAACGTGGAACCTTGTCAAATACTAACGAAGCCGTTTGGAACCACAATAATATTAATAATAATGATGATTATGATGATGGTGCACAACGTGGACCATGTCAAATACTACAGAAACCTTTTATGAACAACAGCAACAACATAATAATAATAATGATGATGATGATGATGATGATGATGATGATGATGATGATGATGATCAAAGTGGAACATTGTCAAATACTAACGAAGCTGTTTGGAACAACAATAATATTAATAAAGATGATGATGATTATGATGATGATGATGCACAGAGTGGAACCATGTCAAATACTACTGAAGCCTTTTGGAAGAACAGCAACAAAATAATAATGATAATAATGATTGCCGGATAAACACAATTTCCCTGTTTGTGGACGCTACCAATCCTGGCGTACACATAATAAAGTGTCCGTATTAAAGAGGTTTATAACAGTAATTACCGGTATATCGGCATATTGGGCTAAACGGGTACTTTTCTGCACCTCAACATATTGACAAATTACAGAGAGGCAATGATTGGAATAATTTAATGAAATGAGATACGTACAGAATGATTTAGATGAACGTTCAAGAAAATTGATCCGGGCTGATTCAGAGGTTCAACATAACACATGGTCCCAAGATATAACTAGTCGGAAGTGAACAATAAATTATTCAGCATAGCTGCATATTATCTGTACGAACATCACTACACCATCTTGATCATATTCGCTGAAAATTCAACGTACCCATGTATCTTTTTCCTTCACACATGCTTGTACATGTCATGAACAGTTCATCAAATTGAACACTATCCTTGCTCCGTGTTTACACACAACTGCACTGTATCTATATAACGTGCTTATAAAAGACAATCTAAATTCATCACTTAACACGTACACACATATAGGAAAGTTCTACATTACCTAAATTTGATGTCAGATGAGAAACTCCGTTAAAACCCGTCCAAACATTCACATAATGTCAGCAACTCGTTTATTTCGTGAAAACATGGACGCCAATCGTCTGTGAGGCGTGCGACAAGGAGCGGCAATCCTACCCGACTTGTTCTATATTTATTCTTAGCTCAGCCCGCCCTTTGCAGTAGCTCCACGGCAACTCGGAACTCTTGCTATGAATGTAACCGGGTGGGGAATCAGGTTGGACGAGTTAGCGTATTCCTCTTCGATTATTCACTTTAAGCAATGTCTCCACATAATGAATTCATTTATTCGTCGTGCATGTCGTAAACCGCAGCGACGCAGAACGCCCACGAGGCATTTACTCCGCTCATTGGTTGCGTAGGTTTGCTTTTATGACAAATTCAAAGAATACTTTTCACATTTTGAAAACACAACAAAGCAATGTTATCCCTTGGCTGAGATCTACCCCTCCTCCCCCGACAAAACTACAATCGTGTACACGAACATAATGGAATATGTTCTTAAAGTACGGTAATTGCTTCTATTGTAGGTACAGACAGCATTACATTTTCCCTGTATTTTGCAATGCATTTGATTAGTAATTGTATATGATAACAATACGATTCTCAGAGTATTGAAAGTGTGTATGTTTCCCACGCTGACGAAAACGAGGATGAAAATGATTTTTAGCATTTTTCACGACGATAAAGAGGCGATTTCGTCTGCTTAATGGATCAACAAGATAGAAACGTCCCATTAGATGATAGTTTACGACTGCGTGAATAACATTTTATTCCGCTGAGTCACCAGACACAGCTGGGTAAACAATTCCACAAAACAACAACCTTTACACATGCACGTCAGTACAGATCGGTGATATTTTAACAAGTGTTTTAAGAGTAATTCAGAAATGACTTCTGTCTCTTCTGTCCTGTGTATTGAATAACAAGAGGCCAACAACCGCAGGTATTATTAGTTTGAATTCTTTTACAGTATCGCTAGCACAGATCACCACGCAACCTTGAGAACAAATGAACTCGTTAATAGGTGAACCGAACACGGGGTCGACTATCCATCACTGATGAAGGGCAATGGGATCGTGACGTGCAACTGAAAGAAGCGGAGGTAAAATACCTTCGCCTGCTTTTCAAGCACGCTCTCCTAACCAATCCTCTTATTGTGGTTATTTAATAATAAATGGAATTTGTTTTGATAATTTAATTCATATCAACATATGAACATCTATCTCGTAGGATTAAAGTATAAATTCGACATCAATTCGTTCATTAAAGCATAAACGACAACGATACCATCAATAGGCTTTGCTACATGACTGCGTTCACATTTGCAGTACTTAAAGGGCACCCTTAATCGAAACGTGAACTATTGGCACACGTGTTGCTTTGATGTCTACGGCATTTATGTATCACAGATGGACGACTATAGCGGGTTCATGAAATTTTAACATAATCTTCATCACTTTTTAAAGAAAACTTATACTACTGATGACTAAGTCTGTTTGAAGACAGATCTTTGCGAACTTGACCCAGGGCCGCTGGTGCATCCTCGATCGGATTTAAGTGATATACCAGCCTCAATGCCCCTGTTGATGGATATTGTAAGGCTAAGAATAAAGGAATCTATGACATCTGGTGACTCCACACAGCAGTCGAGATATCGCATTAAAGGTAAATACAATAATCAACCACAAGTCCAAAAAGGTTGACAAACATAATGGGGTAGTGTCGGTTTATGTGAATTCCTGACATTTTTTCCCTTTCACTTCGGGCCATTTTTCATTGCTATTGATTTTTATCAGTAAAAGGAACATTTATCAGTAAAAGGAACAGTTATCCAGCCCACACTAAACACGATTTACCCTTCAGTCATATCATCAGATGTTACAAGTGTAAATTATACACCTGGTTAACTCGAACTACTGAGACCCAATTTATCATTTAAAATGATGTACTTATATGACCCTTGCCTATAGAGCACTTGGCTTGACTGGGTCTACGAACGACATGGTTGTCCCCGAAATCCAGTTATGCGGTAACTTTCTACTTTATTTAACACTTAAATATACGATTACGGAAATAAAACCTGCTATTTCATTGCTGTACAATATATACACATGGAAAAAGTATCGCAACAACTCATATTGTCCACAGTATCATACATGACCATTGACGACAGCAAAGGAACTAAACTTCATTTTAGCTTACTAGATGGATAAGGTGACCCTCAGTAAATAGTTAATCTGAATGAACGAAAACTGTAGTTTATTCATAGAAGCAAGCATGACCCCAAAAATTGACTGCTTTTGTAGTGCTGATAACTATGGTCGTACATGTATGTCGTAAACAAGTTCGGTCATTTTCCAGATTCTGGCATACATTCACTATACGTATCAATAACCGAACACAATGTCAATAGCTTGTGTAACCTTCGGCATTGCAATACCATCCCTGACCCCCTCCTCATTGACTGTATCAGGCATTAAATTTGACGTTGAGGTATTGCGTTCTAATCTTACAGGAGGCTTTGTTCCAAAATATCAATATTTTGTACTTGAGGATCTCTCTGGCGTATTCTGGCGTGACCTATAATGTCCTAGACATGCTTGATTGAGATCTGGATTCGGGCCAAGGTAGAGTTGCTACCGCCCATTGATGTAAAAGATCACCAGAGGCATATGGACGGTGTGGTCTCGCATTGTCGTCCATGACGATTGGCCTCGTCTTCATTGGATGGCCATCGAAATGTGGCACAACAACCCTTTCCATGATTCAGTGATGCACCGTTGTCCATTCAGATTTTGTCTGGTTAAAACAAAAAGGTTTACAGTGATGTGAGGGACACTCCCACAGAATCAATGAACCCTCGTCAAAAGGTACTTGCTGCAAGATATTCCTCTGTGCATATGCAGTGTTTCTGCGGCACCAAACACGAGCTCGACCATCAGTCCTGAACAAAGGAAATACTAATTAGATTCGTCGTACCATGGGACACCAAGCTCTAAAGATAACAACGGATAGATTATCGGGTTATATGCCCGGCCGATTTCAGGCGATTTCCAACCGTTCTATTGGGGAAACGTTGACGTGGAAGACACTTTGTTTTCAACACGCTACTTGACATGAACGGATGACGTCTTCTGGTTCCGAGAAGATCTGTATCCTCCCTTGGAGTTGTCACTCGTAGTCGACCTGAACGTTGTCGGTCCTCCAAGTCATTAGTTTGCTGATGTTTATTGGCCAATCGGTTGCATTAGCCCTCAGGGACATGCCAGCATACCAATAACTTGCCATACTTGAGCAGTTATCATTTGTGGAGGCTCCATATGTGCTTATCAACAACGAAATCAATGGGTCTTCCAAGTTTTCGAGCTGTAAGAACCGTTTACTTAAAACATTTGCATGATGGCAGGTATACGTATTGCGTGTGATGCTTGTCTTTGATCGAAGCACGTATCTCGAATCAATACAGGGTACGTCCGAAGGATCAACATCATTATACAAACAAACATAACTATGATATGAATACAAATGGGCACATAACAGTTTAAGTGATATATGTTGAGATACATATTTCCATGTGTATATGACATTTTCTAATTATACCACCATACGAACAAGCGCTGACTTTGTTACCATGAAAACCATTCAAAGTGTTGTGGTAAACAATGCATAGCTTCAATGCTTCTATTTGCTGACGGTTAGGTTAGTGTTGAGAATAAATATACCCATTCATGCACTGTTTAACATAATGATGTATGCAGTGTGTGAAGTTGGAGCAGAACTAGAAAATCTCACCTCAAGTATGTTGAGATCAAACAAGTCAACAGGAGTTAACAAATGTATTGTACTCCAAAGCGTGCCAGATCGTTTTTTAATTAGATTCACAAATGTTGTTCCTTTCGGATCATCCACGACACCGGCAAGTGTGGACGGATGTCTCCGCGAATTAAATTTTGAAGACGCCCTTGAAGGCGTGTGTGCTGAAAAACTGTTGTATTGTCTGTCACTACTGTAATTTGAACATTATCTGTAGTTTTGTTCTGTGCACCCGCATTATCAGGACAAACATGTGTTCTTTCACTGGAGCGTTGTACAGCTGCATAACAAAAGTCCGTTACATTCCCATATGTACGTTCAATGTTCCACATATTCCATCGTTCGGGTATGTTTGTTGTAAACTTATCAATTAGGGTTGATATGATACACTTAACATGCAAATATCATGTAGTCATTTGAAATAAAGTGAAAATGTATAGTATAGTTACGCATACATGGGTTCAATCTATGCAACCCATTTCAAGCAGATTTTCCATGCAGTACCAGGAAAGGAGGTAAGTAGACTCAAGCGCCATTTTGTACATTTACCATGCTAACAATCATACCGTTTCAATGTAATAAAACTAGTACCTAGTTTAATTTATCAAAATGACAGTTTTATGAATTGGTCTAGTAGAATTCGATAATAATTTCCGAAATAGTAACAATTTATGCCTAACCATTAACATGTAGGCGTAAATTCACTTTACACCAAATATTGAATGGAAATAAGACCCAGTTCTGTTCTAAATAATAAGCAGGGGTGGAAATAACTTTAAAATTGCTAGTGTACACCGGTACTGTGGCACATGTAAAATCACTTGCCCTGATACTTTTTCCACTATACCGGCCGTTTTCTTGTTGATTTTTTTAAATAAACAACATAATTAATATTGGAAAGTCAACTGGACACCGGTACAGTGTGATATACAAATTTGCATGCCCGACAGAAAAAGACCACTGGACTCGGGCGTCGGGCAATGGGTTATTTCCACCCCCTGATAAGCATCTTGTTTTCAAGGCTTCCGTTCATCAGAAAGCATGGCTGGATGGCGATATTAGACAGCATTTGAAAGGGGCCATATAATTAGCTACAGAGAGTCGGGAATGGCTTGGAAGAATGTGCAACAGATCATGGCTTCAAAATTCAATGTTCTGCTTCCATTCACGGCATGATAAAGCTCCACCAGAAATACAAGGTAACTGGTAGTGTAACTGATCGTAAAAGATCCGGCAGGCCCCGATATACAACTAAGCGTGAAGACAGAATGATACGAAGATTGTGCCCCAGAGACAGGTTTGTGACTGAACATTTTAAGAGGTAGACTCAGAGGTATTTTAGGCCCACACATCAGTCATATGTCTGTGTCAAGG